GAGTAAAATATATTGGAAAAAAAAAAAAACAGACCGCTTTATAAGGGGATAACTTCTATATGACACAGAGTAACTAAACAAAAAGATATGAGCTAATAGTTAGAGAGCTAGATGGTTAGAAGGTAGTCAAAGGGTAGATAGGGTTAATGTGCTGTAACTCAAAGGCAGTTATCAGGTTGGGAGTAGTTTAAACTAAAGAACTTAAACTCACATTAGTAGTAGATATGGTGAGTCTAACTAATCAGCTTTCCTCCAATTCCACTGCTTCAAGGCAGTCCCCCTATCACAGGCATGTCAAACTCAAAGTCTAGCACGGGCCACATAAACAAGGTTAAAAATTACGTGCGCCGGAAAAAAACCACGTAGGTTTATTTTGAAAAGTACAGTATAAAAAAAAACACAGCATCCCTTTCTACTAAACCACAGCACCCCCTCTACTAAATCCCAACCTCCCCATACACTAAATCCCAGTCCTGTCCCTCTACTAAATCCCAGCACCCACCTCAAGCCAACAAGCAGACTCCACTCACATTGCCGCTGCCAGTATGCGACTCCAGAGTCCAGCCTCTGGTATACCCCAAATGGCGCCGTCCGCACCCTGTGCCAAATCTGATCCTCCAGCTACTTCTTGAAACCCTGTGAAGGTGGAGCACTTCGATGTCATGTCGAAATGTGATGTTGCATTGCGTGCATCCATGCACCTCCAGGTACTCCACTGTCCAATCGCAGCCAATGCAACACTGACCAACAAACACAAACACACACAAAGTGACACACACACTGACACACACACTCATTGACAAACACACACTGATAGACACACACACACACACTGACAGACACACACACTGACAGACACTGACATACACACACACTCACAGACAGACAGACACAAACAGACACACATACACTCACCGACAGACACATACACACACATACACACTCACTGACACACACAGAGACACACATACTCAATGACAGACACACACACAGTCACTGACACAAACTCACTCCCTGACAGTCACACACACACACACTCACAGACACACACAAACTCACTGACACAGACACTCACTGACAGACAGACACACACACTCACTGACATACTCACTGACAGACACACACACACACACACTCACTGAAAGACACACACTTACTGACACACACTCACTCACTGACAGACACACACACTGACAGACACACACTCACTGACAGACACACACACACATTCATGCACACACACAATTTTCTTTATTGCTCCCTACCTTTGGGAGCTGATGTGGGGCCTCTCCCTGGGGTCCAGTGGGGATCTTCTATTTGCTTTTCACTGCTCCCTCGCGCGGTTCAGTGATGCCGGGTGCCGGAATATGACATCATATTCCAGCATCCGGCTTCACTACAGTCGTCGCGCACGAGGGAGCAGTGAGGAGCAGGAACACTGAGCTCCCTCGCTGGCCCTCCTCCCCGGCTGGGTATGTTTTAGCAGAGTAGGCACGTACTTGTGGCTCGAACATGGGGCTAGTTTTTTGTGTATGTTGAAAACATTTTTCCAAGCCTTTTCAGGTAGGGTGAGGTGTAGCTCAGGTTCCCAGTACAAACGGTAATTGTTTGATATTCGGGTCTTTGTTTAGGCAGGAGTACAGTAGTGAGATAATTTTCTTTGCCGGTAATTCTGTTGTTAGTACTCGTTTGCAGGTCATCAGCCGCAGCTCGTTAACATTTTTTATTGCAGGTATATAGTGTTTGAGCAACCATGCCCTCACCATGGAAGTATGAAAACTCAGCTGTGCTTGGTAAATTATAGTCATTTTGCAGTTGTGTGAAGGGTATGATTTTGCCTCCCTGGATTAGTTGTGTGATGCATTTAATGTGGTGCCTCTCCCACATTCGGAAGTTAAAATCTGGGATCATCATTTGTAAAGCAGTGAACGTCATTGCTAGGGAGTAGGCTTTGGTCAGGCATAGGCTAGCCCTGTGGGATTCCCATATGTGTTTTGTCAGTGCTGTGGTGGTTAACATTGTTAGGCCTTTGGGTCTAATGAGGGGCGTAGTCCACATTACTGATAAAAAATGGTGCACTTGGGTCATTGCTGACTCCAGTCCCACCCACTGTGGGTGCCTTTCCTGGGTCTTTGCAATGATGATGGGGTTAATGTTAGTGACGTATATATTGGGGAGGCTCATGCCTCCTTCTGTATGATGTCTGTACATCGTAGAGATGGTGACCCTTGGTTTTTTGTGTGCCCAAATAAACTGGTTAAGTAGTTGTTAGTTTTCTGTGAAGTAGATGGACGGTATCTGGATGGGAAGGATCCTAAACAGGTATTGATATTTTGGGAGTACTACCATTTTCACCGGCCGGACCAAGAGATTAACTTTTTATGCCAGCCTTGGAGGAGCATTTTCACTTGATTTTGTATTGTCATGTAGTTCGCCTTATACAATTGGGCTACGGGGGGGGGAGTTTTATCCCTTAGAAAGTAAGGTGGTCTGTCCTCCAATCATATTGGAAGTTTGACTTGAGAGAATTTATATATTTGCTAGGTAAATTGAAACTCATGGCTTGCATTTTGGTCACATTTAGTTTGTAGTAGGAGCATCTACTGTAGGCTTCTAGCGTGGTTGTGAACACCTGTAATGAATCCTTTGGGTTGGATAGTGTGAGGAGGACATCATCAGTAAAACGTGTGAGTTTATATTCCTGGTGGTGTACCCGAATGCCATGTATGTGTGGGTGGTTGCAGATTAGGGTTGTGAGTGGTTTCAGTGCCATTATATATAATAAGGGGGACAATGGGCATCCCTGACGTGACTCATTTGAAATAGCAACTGGTTGTGAGAGAAACCCACTGGTGGTGACTATGGAGGAGGGGTTGCTATAAAGTGCCGTTACAGCTGCTATGAATTGGGTTGGGAAGTTAAATTTATTTAATACCCCAAGGAGAAAGGACCAGTTCAACCTGTCAAATGCTTTTTCAGCATCTAAGGACAGGAATACACTGCTCTCCCTCCCCGTAGGCAGTACATCAGGTCCAGCACCTTCCGGGTTCCATCTGCCCCCGGTCTGCCCCTGACAAATCCTACTTGGTCATCGTGTACAATGGTCGGTATTATACTTGCTAATCGGTTGGCAAAAGTTTAAGGGAAGAGTTTTATATCTATATTCAATAATCATATGGGTCTTAGGTTTTGGGCTCGGTTGGGGGGTTTGCCTGGTTTTGGCAGTGTGGCAATGTGTGCTATCACCATCTCCTGTGGCGCAGTCCCTGTTTGTAGCATTGTCTGGATAGCATTGTGTAAGTAGGGCCCTAATGTTCTGGAGTAAATCTTGTAGTATTGAATCGGTAGTCCATCTGGCCCCGGTGATTTGGCAGTGCGTCAATAGTGTTTCGTCCACCGTGATGGGTTTTTGCAGTGTTTGTTGTTGGTCCAAAGAAAGAGCCGGGAGTTGGATGTGGACAAGAACTCGCCAATGTCCGCAGGTGTCGGTTGGTGGACTTTTTCATCATTATTTAGATTATATGGTCCTGAGTAGTACTTTGATAATTCCTCTGCTATATGTTGGGGGTTGAATATTTTCGTGCCATTGTTTTGTAAGACGTAAGGTATTTTCGAAGCCTGTTGTTGCTGTCTTAACCATGATGCTAATATTTTCCCAGCCTTGTTGCCGTGGGCGTACTCCCTGGTTTTTAGTTTTTGCATCATGTATGCAGTTTTGCTCATATGCCACTCATTGATTAACTTTTGTGTCTGGTCAATGGTGGTTTGCAAGGTGGGTGTTGGGGAAATAAAGTGTTGGGTAGTTGCATCTCGCAACTGCCTCAGTAATTTCAAAAGCTGAGTTTGGGACGCCCGTTTGATGTGGGAGGCTTGGCTAATAAAGAGTCCCTGTCAGGGCCAGATTAAGAGCCCAATGGGCCTGGTGCTGACAATTATGAGGGGCCTAAGTACAGAATCTTATCAACCAAAAACACTAAAACAGTCATACTTCTCAAGCATTATGTATCTGGTGGAGATGTTGCCGGAGGGAAACTCAAACTCAGGATGCAGCTATAAAAAAACTCAGATTCTCTTAAAATATGCTAATCTCTCTCTAATTCATGCTTTCATCTTTCAAGTAAATCCATACCCTCTAACAGCAGTGTCCAGTGAAGCAGGGAGTCAGTGGGCGGTGTAAAAGGGTGGGCCACTGACGCGGATCATGTAACAAGAACTTCCAAAAGGGCCGAACATGCCCAAAAAGGAGGTGAGTCTGCCCAAAGAATTGGAAGGCTATCCTGGCATGAATGCATATCAGGCTGCCTGACAATCATGCATGCTGGCCAACAGAATCCTGAGCTTGGCATAAATGCGTCTAATGATGCGCTCACTCCATGCTTTCTAAGGACTGTCCTCTAGTACTCACATGTCCACTTGTCTTCTTACCTTATTACTAGCAGACAGAAGCTCCTGGTATACAGTCTGAGACAGACAAAAGGTGGATGTAGTGAGTGTAGAAGAAACGGAACATGCCACAGTGTCAGAGAGACCAAAGTCAGCATTACCTTAACTAATTTAATTTCAGCTAGTCAACACAAGTTTTGTTTCCATATATCCCTCTTAAGTTTCCATACTTAAGCAAACCTATGTGAAGAGTAGTTAGGGTTGCCACCTTTCTTAGAAAAAAAAATACAGGCCTTGCTACTTTGCATAACTAATTATGTATGTATGACATCACATGATGGAGTGACAGAGAACATTCTGTGAAATCACCCAAAAATTACTCAGTTTGATTCTGTATAGATGGATTGCTCCCAGTGTCTCCCTGTGCCCCCTATGTCACCCATTGTCCCCTAGTGTCTGTGTCCCCATGTCTTCCAGTGTCCCCATGTCACCAGGGGACACTGTGAAACATGGGGACACTGAGACTATGTATCACAGTAACTCAGTGCCCCATCTCTCCCAGTGTCCCCATGTCTTTGTGTCCCTATGTCTCTGAGTCCCCATGTCTCATGGGGACACTGGGAGACATGGGGACACTGAGACACTAGGAGACATGGGGACACTGGGACACCAGGGACACTAGCTGGGAGACATGGGGACACAGACACTTGGGGACATTGTGTCCCTAGTGTCTGTGTCCCCATGTCTCACAGTGTCTCAGTGTCCCCATGTCTGTGTCCCCATGTGTGTCTGTGTCCCCATATCCCCCAGCATCCCTAGTGTCTGTGTCCCCTAGTGTTTCAGTGTCCCCATGTGTGTGTGTCCATGTCTCAATGTCCCCATGTGTTTCTGTGTCCCAGTGTCTCCAAGTTGTCCCCAAGTGTATCAGCGTCCCCAGAGGTCTCCATGTGTCCCCATGTCTCATAGTATCCCCTAGTGCCTCAGTATCCCCATGTCTCCTTGCAGCCTTTACCCCATCACTCACTTCCCTGAGCTGTAGGCTGTCTCTGCAGGCTGGGAGCTGCTGTCTGGACTCTCTGTGCTGTGTAGCTGCTGCCCCCGCGGATCAGTGAGTAGAGAGATGCAGGTATATGCTGTAACTTCCTATCCCTGCCTCTCTCCACACACACAGCGACCCCTACTGGCCAGTAATGGTATTGCAGAGTAATCTCTGTTTATACTGAGAAAAATACCGGCATTTATATTGCCGGTATTACTGCAATATTGGCACTGGCCAGGTAGCCTCAAATCAATACCAGCCAGGTGAACAACCCTAAGAGTAGTGAGTAAAAAAATAAAAATAAAAAATTAAATATTTTTTAGTTTATTTTTTTAAATCAGTGGGCCTATTCCATGGGTCTGGGCTGCAGCTCCATCAGCTCCTATGTTAATCCGGCCCTGTTCCCTGTATCACTGATTTATGGGCTAATCATTGTGTGAGTGCCATGTTTTCTGGGGTGTTGTTTGTAATGAAGTACGCCTGCAGTTCTATGTCTACTTTCTGTTTGAATTGGTCATCAGCAAGTAGTGATGCATTGAACTTCCACGGGGCTCCTCCTCTGGTTGGGAATGTGTCAGTCAATGTCAGAATTATGGGCGTGTGGTCCGACGACACTATATCACCTATTTGGCATTCTAATGTTTTGAATAGGGTTGGGGCAGAAATCAGTATATGGTCAATTCTGGAGTGTGTCTTGTGTACTTGGGAGTAGTGGGAATAAGTACATTCTGTCGGACGGAGCGTTCGCAAGGAGTCATATAGGCAAAATTCCGCTAACAATTTGACTAGGGACGTACATTGTGTTTGTAGTGCTTTGCATGTAGGCTGTTGAGGGTTTGCTGAGGTGTCTATTTCCTGGTCTAAAATGTGGTTGAGGTCTCCACAAAGAATTACCTGTTTGGTTTTGAGGGGGCTTAGTTTCATTAGTGCTTTATGTAGGAAATACCTCTCATTTGTATTAGGGCTATATAAGCTTGCTAAAGTGTATGTGGTGTCATTAATTTTGCATATTATGATGATGTATCTACCTTGGATGTCTGTAACTAGTTTGAGCAATTCAACACTCCCTTTTGCTTTTGATGTGTGAGTTGTATGGTATTGAAGGGGTTACTCTTTGTTGTCAAAAGTAGGGACCTTGGTTTTGGCAAAGTGTGTCTCCTGAGCAGCATCCTGCGTTTATGTTCATATTACTCCAAGCAGTGGGACCCCAGGGGGGATAAGAGAGGGGTATTCGGGGGGTTCAAGGGCGGATTCAGAGGGGCACCGGGGGTGGGGGAGGGTTATATACAAACAAGTCCCCAAGTGAGTGCAGTGCTAAGTGGGTGCACCATGGGGGTGGGAAACACTTTGTTCCCTATGGGTGTCTAGTGAGCTGTATAACACATAACTTTTAGTGTACAGAACTAATCGAATATGTACATGAACATGATGTGGTTTGTGCCTATGAGCACGGGCCCTTGGGGTGGGGAGATATGGGCCTTTGTCCGGCCGGTATGTGAAGGTCTATGGCCGATGCATAACAAAATTTTGCCATTTGGTGCTCATACTCCAAGAACTATGTTAACTACATAACCTGGTTAAGTGCATTACAATGGGCTATTTCTCAACTTATATAGGTATTACGGGCTCCCAGCCCTGAATAAGTCGGTTGACAACCATAGTGGTGGCTTGGCGTGCCGCCTGTCAGGTAAATCCTACAGTATGCCCACCTGATTGTGGTTTCAATGTCCTGCCTTGTAGTCGGCCTGGATGTGTTTTCAGACATTTTAATTTGGTGTATCTCCAATCGTCAGGATTGTAATGTGTTTAGTCAAAAATGTATTTTTTTTTTATTTTTTTTAACAATTAACGCATTGTGCTCCCTGCCAGTAACCAAATTTATCAACTGTACCCTGCATGCTGCCATCCCTGTTTTTTCAGCAAAGGGGGCATATGCATTTCTATGTGGACTCCGGGGTAGGCTCTGGTGATGTAACTTTTTATGTTGATTCTCCGTTAGGAGAACCCCTGAATATACTAAGGGGTCATTGTATGTGAATGCATGGGCCTTGTGTGTCAATTCGGTATGCAGTGTCAGGGTGTAACATAAACAGCAGTTTAAACATTTTCTATGGGTACACTACACGCATTGTCTAATACTTGATTGGACTAGTAGGCCCATTATATATACATAGGAGATACTTGCCGTGCTGGGAGACCCTGTATTTGTTGAGCAGTCCAGAGTCCATAGTGCCTGCTGGGGGTTGTATGCCAGTCCAGCCTGATTCTCCTCTGAGGGGAGGCCGCTAGGTCATCAGGTACGTTGTCAAGGCCCCAAGATCTCAATTTCCGTGTGCCGTCTTCTGGTGAAAGTATAGCTATCATTCTTCCTTCTTTGTTAACCAGTACTTTGGTAGGGAATCCCCAATGGTATCTTATGCTATTTGCTCGTAGGATCTCTACAATGGGTGCAAAATCTCTTCTTCTGTGAAGTGTCACTGCGGAGAGATCTGTGAAGATTTTAACAGTAGGATAGTCCTCTGGTGTTTTAGCTTTGTTCCTGCTGGCTCTGAGGATATGTTCTTTAACATGATTATAATGTGCCCAGAGCAGTACATCTCTGGGTGTGGAGTCCGTTAGGTGTCTTGGGTGTGGGACTCGGTGCATGCCGTCCACAAGTAGCATGTCGGCGGGAATCTCCGATGCATAGGGCGTGTAGAAGGCCTCTAACGTAGGCCTGTAACTCTGTCGGGGGAATAGTTTAAGGCACCCCTCTGAGGCGGAGGATGTTGCGCCTCGCCCGGTCTTCCTGGTCTGCTAGTTTGGCTTCAGTGTGTTCCAGCTTGGCCTCTAATTCCTCCACATGGCTTGCCAAGTCATTGTGCGCGGAGGCAAATTCATCCATTTTGGGTTTTGTGTGAGCCATGTGCCGGCTCAATTCTTGCACATCCCTGTGCAGGGATTCCATTGAGGTCTGCCATGAGGCATTTGCAGGAGAGAGCATCTAGCTCATTGGTAAGGCAACTTGTAGTAAACTACCCCGGTGGTTTGGATGTTTCCAGTTCGTGGTGTGGGGCATCTTTCTCCACTTTTCCGTCGCCATCTTTGTCTGAGGCCTGCTGGCCGGTAGACTCTAGTTGCGGTTTGTGCACGAAAAAGTTTAGTTTTTCCGCCTTGGAGGCGTTCTTTGTGCTCTTATGCATCTTGGCTGTGTTGCGGTTTTCAGATTTCTGTACACCGGGATGGTGCTGTGGATTATGCTTCCATCTTGCTCGGCAGCTAGCCATGCCTTCATCCCACTACAATTTGATCAATATTTATTCTGATTTAAATAATAAAAAATGTGAAGGGATTGAAAAAAAGATCCCTTATACAGAGGAATACTGTTCACCTTAGATAATGTTATCTGTTAGGCTCTCACTGTACTAGGATACTGTATTGTTCCAAAAGAAGAGGGAATTCGCACAAGTAATCGTACAAAACCGGGCCTGAGTTTGGCAGCCCACATATATAGTAAAAGTATGATCCAGGCACTCAAAAATAAAATAGCACATTTATTGGAAAGTCAGAATATGAAAAGCTATGTTTCGACCTCAGTGAAGTCTTCACCACAGTGAATAAAATCCATATATAGAGGACACATAATTAACAATAATTGCAAGTGAAATGACAATCATACACTTACTTCATTAACTGAAAGATCTGCATCCAAATCTGATTGGCAGCAAAAAAAAATATCAAAAAAAAAAAAAAATCAGTCACATTATACATCACCAGGAACCAAACATTAAATAATTAAAGGACCACTGTACTGCCAGGAAAACAAACTCGTTTTACTGGCGCTTTATAGTCCTTAGGTCCCCACGCCCTCAGGGCCCCCTTCAGCCACTTACCTTAATCCAGCGCTGCCTCCCTCACGCTGGTGACCTCTCCTCCCCCTCCCATATCAGCTCTCGAGTGGAGCCAAATGCGCATGCACGGCCAGAGCCGCGGGCGCATTCAAACCGCTCATAGGAAAGCATTACTCAATGCTTTCCTATGGACGCTCTGCTTGCTCAATGCGATTTTCGCATTGAGTGTCGCGGAAGCGCCTCTAGCGGCTGTCAGGAAGACAGCCACTAGAGGCGGGATTAACCCTGCGATGTATACATTGGCGTTTCACTGAAACTGTTATGTTTACAGCTGCAGAATTAAAACCTGGGGGACCTGGCACCCAGACCACTTCATTGAGCTGTAGTGGTCTGGGTGACTATAGTAGTCCTTCAAATCAATAAAGGGAGTCCGAGGAAGCGAATGGAAACCTCCTAGAGCCATAAAAGGATTTATACATAAAAGCACCAAAGCTGCTGAGTAGCACAGACATGGTCAAAAGCCACCAGGAACCAAAATGAGCTAATAGAACATTATTTATTAATATTAATACAAACTCAGTGCGTAGTTGGGGCGCGGTGTGTTGAATGATGCAGTCACTTGACGCAAAAGTGTCATCATCTGAGTACGTCACGAAACCAAACTGACAAGAAAACTGTTGCCATTAAGATTGCTGTGGATCAGATGAAAAGCCGAAATGCCCAAATAAAAAATATACAAAGTGAAATTAATACACAATAAAAAGTGCAAGGATTAATTAATAAACTACACAATCCTTTCTTTTTTATATCTCTAAATATGCAGATAGTAGGCATTTAATTGTATCAACTGTAACTGTGCATTTAATTGTATCAACTTCCAAGGTTCTTGTTGTGGAAATAAGGTCTGCACATATTTCCTAGTTAGAGAAAATGTCTATTTACTCATTTCACGGTATATTATAAAGCTAAGCACACATGTTTAATCAAAATGGCTGCTAGAAGCTTCTAACCCCTCCTCCCTTCCCCCTCCTTTCATAACACCAACTAACTACCTCGTGCAGCAAGATGGTGCCGGGAAACCGTGGGAGACCCTCATGGCCCCGGTGACATCACCTACAGTAGGCAGAGCATTAGAGCAACCACTTAACACCTAACCAATTATTGATGTATTATTCCATGTTATCTCTGACAATGCTCATGATGTAATTCTGCTCTAAAAGGGACCTGCCGTCCCCTCTGAATAAACTTTCCTCAAGTTATTCAACAACCTGGAACCTGTGTCTGGTGTGAACTACTTCAGGGAGCGTGCACGCATTGTTTCACTGATTTGGCCAGGGGCAGATACACAAAGAAATAATCAATACTTTGATTGATTTTTCCATTTCAATTGGCGCCCAACGTGGGGCCCACCGGAGAGCCGGTTCGGAGGGCCGGAACCAACGGACCGGAGCGGACCTCCGGAAAGTGGGACAAGCGGAGCCTGATCACCTCCATAATACAGCCGTTGCCTGTGTTGTTCTCCTGTTTTGTGTCGGTCTGTCTCCGAGTCCACTTCCGGCTTCCAGAAGGCTACTAGAGACAGGTAATTAACTCATCCGGTGTGCCCTTTTAAAGTGAACCTGTCGATTGTCTATCTGCCTCCTGTATTCATCTGTATGTTTGTGTCTCTCCTTCTTTTAAAATATGTTTGCTTGACTGCCTAGCGGGCAGGGAACGCATTTTATATGTTTGCTTGACTGCCTAGCGGGCAGGGAACGCATTTTATATGTTTGCTTGACTGCCTAGCGGGCAGGGAACGCATTTTATATGTTTGCTTGACTGCCTAGCGGGCAGGGAACGCATTACAGCCGGTGGGGCTGGGATTTTATGTTAGCTTGACTGCCTAGCGGGCAGGGAACGCATTAGCCGGTGGGGCTGGGATTTTATGTTAGCTTGACTGCCTAGCGGGCAGGGAACGCATTACAGCCGGTGGGGCTGGGATTATATGTTAGCTTGACTGCCTAGCGGGCAGGGAACGCGTTACAGCCGGTGGGGCTGGGATTTTGTTTGATTATTGCAGTGTTTTCATTGGTACCTGGCCATTTTACTCTCTATCATTCTGTGGTTTCTGTTTAATTGTTGTTACAGTGTGGGTACCCTTGGTGTGTGTGTGTGTATTGTGTGGTTAGTTCTGGATTCCGGAGTTTACGCTCATTTATATGTTTGTGATTTTTGCAAATGTCTTCTCATTAGCGCAGCCACGTTCATTTTCTCCTTTGTTCTTTATCTCTCCTGTGCCTGTTGCCCAGAGCTGTGTTAGTCACCCACGCTCATTCGCTCCCGTCCGTGACCACCACCCCGGGTGGGCGGATCTCCGTGACTGGTCTACGTTTGGGGAAGACGCACGGGGCTCAAGTTCTCGTGGCAGTCGAGCACTGTAGACATTCTTTTTCCCTTGTACCTCCTCTATTTATCTGTCTTTAGCGCGTGGCACGCTTCGTTTACTCAAAATGGGACAGGAACACGCTAGACCTGCTAAGGGCTTGTTGGCTTGTGACATTGTGAAAGAAAGGGCAGGGGAAGATGCAATGTTGAAACTTAAAAAGATTGCTAAGGTGTGTGGCTTCCAGATGTTGCCCAGTGGGAGATTGCAGCCTGAGTTTTGGAGGAAGTTACTCATAGACAAGGAAGGGTTGTTGTTGGATAGTGGACTCACAAAGGTTGCAGAGGCTTGGTACAGGGTAGCTAGAAGTCTGAAACGGGAAGGATGGGTCGAGGAAGAGTTGGAGTTTGAGGGGCAAATCGTGTATGTTTACCATAGGAGTGTTAACAATGATGATGTTGTTTCCATTGTCCTGCGACCACCGCCCTATGATGGCGCCCAGAGCGCAACAGTAAATTCCCGCCCTGCTTCCCCCATCACAGCACAAAACCCACCCCCCGGGGGTGTGCCTTCAGCTCCCACCCCCCTGTGCCCCGTACTCGGTGCGGATGGTGCTTACTATTACCCAGTGCCACTTCACTCGTTTCCACCCACTCCCATGCGCCAACCCCCCTATGACCCAGCCCCCTCCATCAACCATTCTCCCGTCACGTCTGTTGAAGTCCCCCCACCTCCATGTCCTCTGCTACCTCTCCCAGTGCCTGTTCCCACTCCGAATCCTCGTCAAGATCCCGTCCTGACTACTCCCGTCTCACCCACCGAAGTTCCCTCCTCTCCCTCCTCTCATCCCCTCTCCACCTCGAGTACCCCGTCCCTAGCAACACCCGCTCCCTCACCCTCCTCGTCTATTACACACCCAACTCCCCCGACCCTTGCCCATTCTACCAACCCCGTTCCTCCGGATCCCTATCCCCCCACAGACCCTCCTTCACCCACGTCCCCGGACCCAGACCTTTCCCCTCTTCTCGCTAGCCTTTTGAAATTGACCTGTCCTGTGACCCCTACCCCTTCACCCTCTCTGCCCTTCCCTCCTTCTCATTCCCCTTCGCCCTTCTCCTCCAAGGATCCCTCATCCCTACTTTCCACTCTCATGAATCTTGTCCAGCCCGTTAATCCCGGTCCCCTTGCCTCTGCTCCCTTATGCACAGACACCCCTCCCATCCTCCAGGACCCTCCCACTATCCACACAGTGTTGCCTCCTCCTCCCGAAGTCCCGGCCCCCTCTACCTCGTTGCCTCCTCCTCCCTCGGCCGATTTGCCGTCCCTAATCTCTGCCCTCACCGCCCTGACCCAACCCCCCGTTACCACTCCTCCAACCCCTTCTCCAGTGTTACCTCCTCCTCCCGAAGTCCCGGCCCCCTCTACCTCGTTGCCTCCTCCTCCCTCGGCCGATTTGCCGTCCCTAATCTCTGCCCTCACCGCCCTGACCCAACCCCCCGTTACCACTCCTCCAACCCCTTCTCCAGTGTTACCTCCTCCTCCCGAAGTCCCGGCCCCCTCTACCTCGTTGCCTCCTCCTCCCTCGGCCGATTTGCCGTCCCTAATCTCTGCCCTCACCGCCCTGACCCAACCCCCCGTTACCACTCCTCCAACCCCTTCTCCAGTGTTACCTCCTCCTCCCGAAGTCCCGGCCCCCTCTACCTTGTTGTCTCCTCCTCCCCCGACTAGTTTGCCACCCCAACCCTCCACCCACGTTATTACGACACAGCCCCCTGGTCCCATCCCTCCGACCCCTCCCCCGGTGACCCCTGACCCATCCACGGCCAATGACCTGTCTAGCTTGATATCCGCCCTCTTCTCTGCTGTTACTTCCCTGGTTAATTCCGCGATCCCTGTGCCGCCTCCCACTGATTTACCTCCTCCTCCTCCTCCTCCTCCCCCCGAACCTCCGACCCCTCCCTTGTCTCCCGCTAACATCCCTGAGTCTTCCGATCCAATCTCTGCTCTTGCCCATGTCCTAAACACTCACCTCTCACGCCCAACCCAACCGGCCCCCATGACAGCCCCTTCCACG